ATTTTTCCTCAAATTCATTTTCAACTGCACATTTTACGGAACTCACAAAGTTTTTGTCAACTTTTCTATCACACATTTCATCAACTTTAATCAAAATCTAATAAAAATCTGGTTTTTAGCTAAACCAAACAAGGACTTAACTTTATCAAATAAGGTACAACAGAATTTAATACGACGGAAGTGCAGAGGACAAGTACAAGGTGTCCTCAAAAAAAAAAAAAAAAAACCAAAAACCTTATTGGGGAATCAGTCTAGAAAAGAAATTACTGAAAGCAGTCTGCATGTTTTGGATCATTACGAGAAAACAACAAATGCCCGTAAATAATGTATGGGAGCAAATTGATTTCAGCTATCTGAGACAACCTACAACACAAGTATATTGCACTAGAAAGCAAATTAGCGTCTAAAATTTTACTTTGCCTTTTGCACATCACACATGTCAGGTGAAACCCTGGTTGGCGCATGATGTACAAAGGTCTTCCAAGTATCATGTACCAAATGAAAGCTTTCAAAGTAGAGGAACTTTTAGATCCCAAGAAAAAGAGGTCAAAGAGAAGGTGTGTTCGTAATCTTAAAAGACTAATATCCAAATACAATACAATTATGAGCATGTTTGATATAGATTATTGAGAATAGATTTTGTGATTTATTTATTTGGAGAATGTGTGGTTAAAAAGTAAAGTTACGGGTCCATGTGCAAAATTATTTTATTGGAAAAATGTGAGATTGGAAATGAGTTTGGAAAAAATCTAACAGGGGCAATAATAATTCTTAACTATCTTGAATGATTCGGTAAAACTTACTTTTTTCCTATAAATTGAAATTTTAAAGGGATATATAACTAAAACATAAAATGAATCATGACTAGTCAATAGACCCAGTGACGGTATTTTCTAGCAACACAAGTAATCCAAGACAAACCTCACAAGCTTCTTGAAGCTTCTCACTTTGCACAAGAGACAATGCAGTGTCTATCACGCATTCGAGAGCATGCAAGCCACGAACACGAGCATAATGATACATGTCTCGCATGCAAGAAGCAGTTGCAATCTTCAAAGATAAAGGTGTCCCCTTTGATGATGCCTCGGGCTTCAATTCTGCAAAAAAAGTTAAAAGGCGCTGAAGAGGTGGAGGAATCTGGTTGTTTTCAGTAGCATTGTACACCTCAACTTCAGAAAGTAATTTGTCCTGAATGACCTGTGAGACCAATAATAAACATTACTACTCCATTTGAATTCATTGACAAAAAATGCAGATGTCTTTTCCTACACAAGGACCAACACTAATTATTATAACAACTGCAAAGCATAACTGCACCACACTTTAAGGCCAGATCAAAATCCATGTACTACCGATGGTATGAATAACAACTACTCTAGCTTTTCTTGTTTCCTAATAATTAACCTGTTAGCATGATAAACCAATGCTATATTTCATAAAACTCAAGATGTTTGGAGTACAAAGAAATAAATACACATGTAATAAGTGCAAGCACGTTGATGCAGCACATGTACAGGTCCCCCAACTTCAAGGGTTAAATGCACCATTGATTAATTAAAATAACCAGATCGCCATTCGGTCAGGCACTTTTGCATAAGGTTCTTACAGACTTTTCAAGACCCAAAAAATGAAATCAGGTACTTTAATAAGTTCAACAAACACACCTCACTAGTTAATTCTATTTTACTCCTGGACATCCCTTTTGTAAGAAACGAAAGGGTGAACATATAACACTCCGTCTCGAAAACATATGACATAAGAATACGCTCAACCACATCTTCCCTTAGTTCATTGAATATCTCTTGTTTACAACATTATCAATTAACAAAAATGTTTTATACGAAAATGTGCAACATAAAAAGGATAGAAGTATCAACACCACCTGAATCATTTGAGCAAGGCGTGTGCAATTAGACGAAAGTGCTTCTGAATACACTAAGAAGACTTTAGCTCGCATAGCCTGCCAG